CATCGGTCAACAAGCAATCTGGACCGTCGGTTTTGGATCGGGCGGTGTAGGAGGAGTCCTCCCCTATAGCTGTGCAGGGGTGCTCCTCGGCAGCGTCCTCGCCGGAGTCGAGGCAGGACGGCGCTCCGGCGGCCGATGATCTCCGGCGAGTGGCGGAGCGGGAAGAGGAGGCCATAGCGAGTCGTCTGCGGCGATGTCGACGGCGGGGAGGCAGTGGGGAAGGGAATCGAGGCGGTAGGGTGGACGATGGTGGTATGGGAGCTCCGGTGAGGTCGGGGAATGGAGTTGCTGGCTCGGATTGACGCCGTGGAGTGGTGTAGAGCCTCATTGTGCATCTGCGAATCCAACGGAGGAGGAATTGAGTCTGGAGGTGAGCTGGGGAGGGAGATCGGGAGCTCGGCTGCATGCTTGGTAATGGCGGCGGCGGCGGCGGATTCTGGCGCTGGAGTGAGAGAGAGGTCATAGGGAGGGGCGAGGTGGCGTGACGCAGCAGCAGCAGTAGGCGGCAAGTGGCAGGCGGTGGCGCAGCAGCAGCAGGTGCGTGGTCGAGCCGCCGCCGCTCTCCCATGGTCGCCTGCCCCAACGCAACGACAAGGCCCACGCCCCGCACGCCCTCGCATGGCGGCGGCGGCGGCGCGACTGGCGGGGAACACGCTCGCCTGCCCCCGACACGACGGCGCGGCCATCGCCCCCCACGCTCTCGCATGCCAGCGACAGCTAGAGCTGGAAGATGGGGCTGACACGTCGGCCGCCTTGGCAGTGACTGGGCTGGAAGATCCTGGCCATGCACGCCACGCCTCAGGTTTCTGTGCTTAAATCATGTCCATGTGGACGACCATCTCAGCTTCTAACCCTCATCGTGTCTATTTTGGACCTAGATGAAACCACTTAAATACATTAGGGAGCTAAACGTGCGATTTCGTAGTTTGGGGGACCGAGATGAAATACGTCCAATACTTTAAGGATCGGCCGTGTAATTTACTCATTTTTATATCTTTTGTTTGCATCATGTGGGACATGATCCGAATGCCATGGATTTGTGCCAAATGCATTCGCTCGGGAATGTTAAGAGGCCGAAACATAGTTAGCTAGATGTCCATTATGTCTGGATATATTGTAAAAGTGGTGTATCTACAAAAATCAAAACCATTTACTTTTGGGAACACAGAGAATATTGTCGTCTTATGGCTCCGTTCGCTGGTCTGAACTTTGGCTGAAACTGGCTGAAAAACACTGTTCCGGCTGAATTGTTGTGAGAGAAAAACACTGTTCCAGCTAAAAAAATAAGCCGAACAAGCCAAATTTAAGACAAGGGAACGAGGCCATATATGGCCAAGATCACGTCGCTGATCTCGAGGAGTTTCATGCCTATGGAGTGCTACACGTCGCTGATCTCGAGGAGCTTCATGGCTGTGGAGTGCTATGTTGTGCCCGTGCGTGCACTGCACCTTCAAGTATCAACGTCCTTAGCCGCAGTCGATCCTGATCCAAACTCGTGTGTAAATATATATAAGTATAGGTGTGAACGTATCCCGCGATCCTCATCCGATAGCCAGCTTTAAGCACGAGGTAGGCGAGAGGAGAACGGTCTTCGCAGACTCTCTCACCTTAGGTCATGCTGTCAAGCTAGAATGAGCTGACGACAGTGCCAGCTAGCATGCCGAGAGCATGAAAATGAGTTTAGGTCCTGTTTGATATAAAGTTTTTTTTAGAGTTTTAGACCAATGCCATGGTTTTTTAAAATACCTAGGTATCTAAAAGAAAGAAGGTGTTTGAATGTAATTAATTTGGAGTTCTAGAAACTACGGTATTAATAAAACCACAGTTTTTTTGGAGTCTAAAAAACTTGGTCCCAACCCTCTTTATTTTTGACAGAGCTTGGTGACGCGCGTCCATCTCTGATGGCGTGTCTCTTTTTCACTGCTATTTTAGAGATACATACTATTTTTAACGGCATAGACATAACCAACTAGTCTTAAAAGCAACGTATTGTTGTGTAGCCAAACACGTCATGGCTTTTCTTAATCAGAGAAACATTGCGGTTTCTAAATACTATGGTATTATATGCCTACGGTTTTTAAAACTGTGGTTTCATAATAGTAGAGTTTTAAGAAACAGTAACACCCAAAGGAGTTCAAGCATCCATTGGTATTATGCTGAGTTGGAGTTTTGTCATGGCTAACGAAATCACCTTGATGTCTTCTTATTCTTTTTAGAGTGAAACGCACCCTGCCCTGGCCGTCTGAGCCCTTTCGCATCACAGTGCTTGTGTGGGTGTATGGTTTGCCTTCCACTTTTTTTTTGTAAACGCACAACAGATACACACACTGGCAACATATTTAAGTTGATTCAATCTCCTATCAATTTGACCTGATGTTTGGCTCGAGTCAGGCTTGGGCCAAACAAAAAAAATATCAGTTTTAATTTTTTTGACTAACCTGAACCCGACTTGGCGTTTGATTATGTATAACTTGAACCAAGGTGGTTAAGATACATCCCTCCTACCCCCGACCACTTGTTTATGATGGTCCTCGTCCCATTGCTTATTTTTTTTATGAAAGTCCCATTGCTTATTTGTAAAGTATTTCATAATGTTTATAAGATGTGATGTTTATATTGTAGTAAAGGTTTGAAGGTTTGCAAACTGACTGTTGTTAGGTAAGTCCCAATATAATGAGAGTTTCAATCTAATTTAATGAAGCATCACATCTGTAAGATTGGTGACATGACATGTAATTTATGAAGTGAGGGATGATACGATTTTCATCTAGATTAAACTCTGTGTATACGGTTTTCAACACATTGGAAACCAAGTGGAACTCCGTTGAGAGCATTCCATTTTATCCACATGTGTTGGAAACTAAATGAAACTCCACTGAAAAGGTTTCATCTTATTATAACACTATGCAACACTTAGATGCTATGTTGAGCCTATAAAGTCATGAATAAAACTATGCATTGTAGGCCTTATTTTATTTCATCACCCCACATATATTTAGCTAGCTAAGGTGTCATTTTCAGAAACTAGCTAGGTTTCTTGTGGTGAAACTTATCAACCGAATTCGGATCTTCAACTCGGCAGGGGTGCTCACATTTACAACTAATTATTCTTTTAGTGGCTAGTATAGTAGTTGATACAGGCCAGTTGCTGGTGAGGTGCATGTGTTGAGTTTGTCGATCTCAAAATTTGTCAACCTAGTCTCTCGAATGTGTGCTCATGAGGGTTGATTGTGTATGCAGGTGTTCATAGCAGTGGCGGATCCAGGATTTGAACTCAGGGTATGCCGTCTAAAAATTTTCATATATAATTCGGTAAAATCATTTCTCAATTCGGTAATAATTGTAAAATTAAACGTAATTTGATATACACACACTAAATTACATGATAAGTATGAAACTGAAAGACATAAATTTTAATATAAATAGTTCAAACGTCATATTAACAATCCCAAATATAAACATAAAAGAGAGTATGTAAGAGACTTATCATACTACTTATCTGACTTTTTAAACTGTTTTCTAAGGGATGTGAATGTTTCGATTATATTATATTTATTCACTTAAAAATGCCTCTTAACAAATTCTTAATTTTGCTTTCACTAAATCATTGTAGAAAATACCCTATCAACAATTGCCGTTGCCTAGCAATATCAATAGGCATTATGTTTTTACATAAAATAAAAGAGAAGAGACAAAAGCAGAGATGGAATACCTCGGTAGCTAGCAGTCGAGATGTATGCCTAGCACGTTAGTCGCGCACGCACAGCAGCCGACCAGCAGCAGCGAAGTAGCTGGGGCGGATCCTCAATCTGACCATCTTAATCATGATTAGTGGCGACGTCGTGTCCTCGTAGCCTCGCCTGAGCGTGTGTACGGCTTCGTTGATCGGAGACGGCGGCGATCTGAGACCCAGCGGCATTGGATCGATGGACTCCTACCATAAAGTCCTGTCGTGTGGGGTCCTTCCAAGTGACGTCGTGTGGCTGTAGGCCGGCCCGTAGCTGGTATAAGCCATGTCACTGAGTGAGGTCGTGGGCCTCGAAAGTGAAAAGGCCTCACGCCGCACGGCACAGCCTCAGTTAGTTATTTTGCAAGTTTTTCTGTTTTACTATAAATAAATATACATGTATATATACTCTATACATGCTAAACCTGCAGGGTATGTCAGTGCATACCTGGCATACCCTGTAGATCTGCCCCTGGTTCGTAGGGGTGAGCGCTTGTGTACATGATGGTCTCTGTTTATACCTTATTTAAAAAAAAAACTTCCTTGTACTAGCACCTACTGACAATAAGATACCGGGGCACAGGCTATATTCTTGGTAAAATATTTCATAACGTTTATTATGACTCTCTAATAGCTACAACATGACAGATTTCAACCTTTCAGTTTCCTTCAAAAGTATTAAACATTTGACTTGAAGGAGTAGGCCAGCCACACCCTAGCTGACAAGTGGTGCATTTGCTTGTACATCCTTGGTGGATAGCAATCCAGCCCTTTTCAGTTTGGTTCCAAGGCGGCCTTCGTATTTTACACATATATTCCTTTCGTTTTTGGTCACTCCTTTTTTCTTTTACACACATATATTTCAGGGAAGTTTCCTTGGTGCCATATATATGTGGAGATGGAGAGCTAGCTGTGAACATATTGTAGCATCTACTAGTCCCTTTGTACTGACCTGGAAAGTGCTGCCCTTATTTGTGGAATGAAAAGGCTAAATGGGAAAAGGGGGAAAAAGGATAAAAAGGATAGATGAGAAGCTTGAGGGAGACCCACCACCTAAACCACCTTATAAACCCCTCTCTTCCAAACTAGTCACATGACACAAGCACACAACTCAGTTCTTTCTGCTGGCTACTAGGCTAGCTACTAGTTCCTCCTTCCTCTGATCCCCCTTTTCATCTCTCTCTCATCTCCTATTGATGTTTTCTCTGGTCTCACAACTTGAGAGAGACTTGTGAAAAGAAATCAGACAGAGGGAGAGAGAGCAAGAGAGATCATGTCGATGAGCTTCTTGAGCATGGTGGAGGCGGAGCTGCCACCGGGGTTCCGGTTCCATCCGAGGGACGACGAGCTCATCTGCGACTACCTCGCGCCCAAGCTCGGCGGCAAGGTCGGCTTCTCCGGCCGCCGGCCGCCCATGGTGGATGTCGACCTCAACAAGGTCGAACCATGGGATCTCCCCGGTGAGTATCCACAAGTCCATCGATCCGTACACGCATGCATCTTCTCTAAATAAAAGTGTAAAAGTTTGCTAGCTTTTTTCTGTCTTTTCTCTTCTTCGATGACTTTGCTTTGCACCAGTTGATGTCTAGAGAGAGAAAGAGAGATGGAGAAATTATTATTCCCCATGGACAACAGGGATCGTTGAATTTTTTATTTATTTATTCTTGTCCATGATCAAAATCCACAGCCTCTTATTTTTCTGCCTTTTAATTTATTGATTTCCAAAATGAATTAGCTATTTGGGATCCTCTGTTGCTTCAGCGTCAAGAAACACCATGAGTCCCCAATGTGCTGCTGTTCATACACTAAATTGCACCCTTCTGTTTTTTTTTTCGTCATCAGCGATAATATTGCCGTTACTACCTAAACCCTTAGAAATATATATTGATGATCTCGTTTTCATACATATAATCATTTCCCTTTCTTCCTCTTCTTGATATTTTTTCTATACCTCTTTTTTTTTGTTATGATGAACTTGTTGATGCCTCTCCTTCAATAATTATCACTGCTAGTTGTCATTAAGTTGAGGGTCAAAATTAAGCAGTAGGTATACACACAATTGAAATACGTACACACTATGGATTTGTTTTTACTCCTCTACTATAATTGTTTAATTTGCATATAATTACTTGTTTGTTTGTATGTTTGTTTCTGAACCTTCTTGCGGTGGTATAATATCAACGTCACAATCAGAGTACGCGTACTCGATATACAGAAGAAGGCTACAATAACAAGCTAAGCGAGTCTTTTTCCAAAAAAAGAAAGTACTCATAGATGATAGATCTGCCTAAGTGCACTATATAGTACACATAGTTCTTGGCATTTCCAATAATTAAAGAATAATTGAAGTACAGATACATCTGCCTGCTTTAATTTTGCGTGTTAGATATGTTTGTGCTCATGTTATTTTATATGCAAGAGGACTGCATACACTACTAGCATTATTAATTAGGCAATTTTTTTGTAAAATAAATTTGTGCAATTTCATGAAATAGATATGTATAGTTATCAATTAGTATGAGCATATATGGGGGGACGACGATGTGACGGATACCGTGACGACATCACATGACGGAGAGTAAAAATATTCTCATTCGTGAGGGCCGGGGTAGAAAAATGCTCTCGCTTAGTTGTACGTTTTGGCATCCCCCCTATCTGCAACGAGAAAACGATATATAATATTCCATTTACTACATACTTTACGGCCAACTTTCTAAGGTGGTGTTCGGATCCAGTGACTAAAATTTAGGATGTGTATCGGGAGGATGTTGCATGGGGTGTTCAGATACTAATAAAAAAACAAATTACATAATCCGTTAAATTACTTCACAAGATTTAATTTTTAAGCCTAATTAATCATCATTAGCACATGTTCTTTGTAGCACCACATTGTCAAATCATGGACTAATTAGGCTTAAAAGATTCGTCTCGTAAATTAGTCGCAAACTATGCAATTAGCTTCATAATTAGTCTATATTTAATATTCTATGCATGTGTCAAACATTCGATGGGACAGTGACTAAAATTTAGAAGGGACACCCAAACACCACCTAACTTCTTGTGGTCAAGGAATCTTCTCTCCAACCTCTTTCAGTTTGTGTCCAAAATGCTTTTCTGTTAAGGCCTTGCGTGCGTTCGTTCTAGATACTCTCATCAGCTAGCATCAGTTTGAACTTATGAAACACTGAAACATATGCCATAATATCCTTTCCTTTATTATTTTTCGAATGATGATAGATGTTACTGGGTATATGGCTTGAGTAGTTCTTTATTCATGTACTGACTAGCTATATCTACAGCTAGTAGTAAGTACGTAGCTAGGGTTCATATCATCAGCTTATGTAATTAGAAAGGTTCTAAATAAACGTGTCGTGTGGTGGTCAAAAGCTAACAAGTTTCAGCACACACGTTTTCAAAATATATATGGTGGTTGGTTTATTTTATTTGATCATGCACAAAAAGGGCAAAAAAGAAGGATCCCTCAAAAGAAAACTGGATGGCGTCGCCCGGGTTCGAACCGGAGACCTTCAGTGTGTTAGACTGACGTGATAACCAACTACACCACGACACCTTTTGTTATACCGTGGGTTAAAACATATTATTAGTATTACTATTTTATTGTTATCGATGTACTCACCTCCTGCTGGCCTTTCAAATTATTAGTGCACGTCAGAAAGCAACAAACCGCAAATCACGTATTACGCATGAGATCTCAGATTCCTATCGCACACACATGCATGACGCACCCTCTGTATGCATGGACCGCACACGTGTCCCTCCCTCCCTCTTGTCAAATTGATGCCCGGATGCAGTACACTACTAGCAGAAGGTCCCAAAGCTATGGGCAGCAGGCAACACCCCCATGCTATTTCTAGCAGTGGCTCCAAACCTCACCATCCAGCATACTCACAGTGTGTGTGATTGTGAGTTGTGACCACAACGGCACAAGGTGGTCTGATCCATCAACAATCCAACATGCATGTTGATGTTGTACAATCACTGCCCATGAATAGCTTTTCCTACCGGCCAGGCCAGTACCAAGAATGACTTTTGTGAAGTGAAAAAAAGGAGAGGTGCAAGAAATGGAGGAGGCTGATCGAAATGTGTCCGTGTCACCGTCGAAAGATGCGCCTGTTTTTCGACGAAGGAAGCTTTTACTAAATTCTCAAGAGTATTACATCAAGTGATACATCAAGGCGTGGCCTCTGCCTATCAACAAACACAAACGAAAGAAATGAATAGAAAGATCGACATATTCTAGTGACTACCAATTTGTAAACTAGATCACCATATGTATTCATATGTCTGAGAGACCGCCCACGCCAATTGCTGCGAGACTGTTGAAACCATACTATATGTGAAGCTGGCTTCTGCAGGATAGCCTAAATACGTGGCTGTCTACAAGAAAAACATAAAAACATCTCTACATACAATACAATATAAACATTCTCCCATATAGATCAACTGATCACTGAATTTGTGTTGTTTGCTTATTTCCTCTCTGACTTGGTGGCCATCCAGTTGCGGCATCCGTGGGGCCTAGGGAGTGGTATTTCTTCAGCCTCAAGGACAGGAAGTACGCGACAGGGCAGCGGACGAACCGGGCTACGGTGTCGGGCTACTGGAAGGCGACGGGGAAGGACCGGGTGGTGGCGCGGCGAGGGGCGCTGGTGGGGATGAGGAAGACGCTGGTGTTCTACCAGGGGAGGGCGCCCAAGGGCAGGAAGACCGAATGGGTGATGCATGAGTACAGGATGGAGCCTGCTCTTGACCAATCCTACTCCTCCAACTTCTCCTCCAACTCCAAGGTAAATATAATTCAGTTGTTGTACAATGTAATGTTCATTACTGCTAGCTACTAGCTAGTACACTTAGTTAAGTATACAATAATCTTATATATATAGCATTCTGTTTGACAATGTATTGGCACTCTTCATCATATTACTTATCATATAGTCCACTTGTCCACTTGTACTTTTAAGGAGTATCCAAGTTGTTTTGCTTGATCGTCCTTAATTTGTGCTACAACTTCTATAACTTTTTAGGACGGTTTGTCAAAATATATGTGTCAACTCTTTCTTTGTTTATAAATAAATAAATAAAAATAAATGTGCCATTTAAGGAGGTAGTGAACCAATTGGCTTTAGGCATGTCTCCCCAATCAATCAGAATAAAATTGATTGCATAGGTATACATAGGTACAGACTGTATGTGAGCTAGCTAGATTGCACATTTAATAATTCTATAAAGAGACGATTTGTAGTGTGGGCATATTTCCTACTGAACAGTCCTTGTCAAGACTTTTGTCACACTGTTCATATGAGATGGACATCTCTACTTGTCTCTTCTCTACATTTTTTTAATTATATGGAGTTCTTTATGTATATGGGTTTCATACTTAGCCATTATATTTTATTTTTGATGGATGCTTGCCCATTATATTTCTTGAACATAAATGACCTTTTGCACCGGTCCATCCATTTGCATCAAGCAATGGAAGTCCTAAATTCTTGTAACTTTTCTTTAGCAATCATCAATATACAAATTTATGTAAATTTCATCATTGATCGCCTTCGACTAAATTAACAAAGTAAGAGATATATAAGTAGCTTAAAGCCTGAAACAATAGCTTATTCAAAATGAAGGCTTCAAATCAACGTTAATGTTAGTCACTAGTCAGTCCAAGTGATTAACGAGACTCCATTCAATGAACTAACCAATGCTTTCATTCGTCCTCCTCCTGTCACCAACAGGATGAAGATTGGGTGCTGTGCAGAGTCATCTGCAAGAAGAAACTAGCGGGAGGCGGCGGCAGCTCCAAGGCATCAAGGAGCCTCACCAGCAGTGGCGGCCGCGAGACCGTGCCAACCACGTCGCCACCACTGCCACCCCTCATGGACACTACCCTAGCACAGCTCCAGGCCGCCATGAACACCACCGGCGCCGGCGCAATCCAGCAGGTGCCCTGCTTCTCCAGCTTCAACAACATTGCCAGCAACGGCAACGGCAATGGCAACAGCGCTGCAGCAGCAGCTCAGTCATGCTACCTGCCCATGGCTACAGGCGGCAGCCATGGCATGAGCTACCTGGACCATGGCCTGCTGCCTGAACTGGGCGGCTGCTTTGATCCTCTCAACAGCGACAAGAAGCTGCTCAAGGCAGTGCTGAGCCAGTTCGGCGGTGACGTGGTGCCAAGCCTGCAGCATGAGATGGCCGCTGCCACTGCCACTTCCTCCACTTGGATGAGTCACTTTTAGGAAATTTAATTCAGCAAACCTAAGTATGTGATTGGTGATATATTGCATATATGAAACATATATATACATATTGTGTGGTGAAACATTTGTGTGTGAGTAGTAGAGGATGCAATATTTTTTCTGCCTATCGATTCGGATGAGGCAAGGAAAATATTAGGAGTAAAACTCTGTAATGGCTGTTGAAGTGTGTATATTCAGATGCAGAAGTATGACATGAGTGATGAGGAGAATTTCAGATTGATCATTTTACTATAATTCACATATGACTCTCTCTCTCTCTCTCTCTGAGTCTCTGTACATTCATAGTAACAGAACAGTGCCTGTGTATACATACAATAATTCAGAATGCAGAGGCTGCCATCCGGATGCAGTACCGGTCCAAATCCAATCATGCTATTTATTCAGGAAAGTAGGCATGACAGTCACATCTAAGCATCTCTTCTTTACCATCATCTTTCTTTTTCTGATGTATTGTTGCGATGACAAGCATACTAATCAAGCAGTAAGTTGAGAGTTCCTGGCTTTCCACTGCACTATTCCTGATATGCTGCTGGCCAACTGCATAATCAAGTGACCACTGACGACCTGTCACCTGTGCGGCCTCCATCCTAACTGATGCTCTTGCTGTACCTTATGTCATCAATACTGGTACTGGTACACATATAAATACACGTCCTGTACACCTCTCTCAATCGTCTTGTAACAGTAGGTAGGATTTTGCAAGAGCAAATGGCAGAAAAGAAAGAGCTCTCATCTCTGTTCTTGCATCAAGGTAGGCAGGTGGCAGCTTCTAGATACTGAAACGTCCCAGTCTTATCCATTCTTTTTCATGCCAGACTGCCAGTCCATCGCATGAACATATATCTAGACTGTGATTTGTCATATTGTTACACTACTGAGGTACAGCTCATCCGAAGCAAAAATGGAACTGGTGGTGAATTGGTGATAGCGCAAATTTACTATTGTAGGTCTGATGGGTTCATCATGTTTTCCTATTTATACCATTCTAAAAATTAAAATATATAAAAGGAAATATAATAGCTATATTCATATTTTACTCTTATACGTATAAGGTAATACCTCACCCTTTTCTATCCTATCCATTGAGACTTAACTAACTAAATGGATAACCCACATTTAGAAACATATTTTTTTTTAGATTACACGATACAACGTGGACGCTCACAAGTCACAACGCATGCACACTCACCCTTATGAACGTACGCACGCAAACCCTACCCTTATGAGCACCTTCGAAGATTGGACGACAAATCCTTAGGACGAAATTGACGAAGCACTGTAGGCATCTCGTTGTTGATAGGAACGTTGCCTACCACTGAAAACACAATGCCGTTATATCCTGAGTAGAACCAAGGACCTCAGATGCTACTGAGGCTCTTGTAAGCACTAGGCTACATGCCATTTCGCTTGTTTTTCTTAGTGCCACAAGCAAATTTACTATTCATTGTTTTTCTAAGTGCCACAAGCAAATTTACAATTCAAATTCATTTGCAGGGCTTTTGCATGATATCGTAAGAGTAAATTTTATAGGGCATTCTACCAGAAATTTAATCTCCACGTTGAGGTTTGACTTGTAGTGTGTATGGATGAGATGTATATCTTTTTGAACTTCATGACTCATTCCACATAGAAGCCTTATTCTTTTCCAGTGCAAGAAGCAGGGTCTAGGGAAAAACTTAATGCTTGTGCTAAAGGTAATGATATTGAGGTACTGTACTCAAATTGGTTAATGGCAGTGCTTAAAGTTGGATCATAGATTGGTATTGGAGCATGAAATCCGAGAACAGAACGCAACTGGAGCATGAAATCCATGCCATTCAAGGATGGCTCATTGACTTCTTTTAATGGTCAAGTCCTTGATTATGGAATTGATCCAGTTTTATGAGAACTTCGATGAAGAATTCTAGAGCAACAAGCTCGTGCAAATAGGAAACCTGAATCCAAAAAATGATCCACATTGTACATATACCAATTATGTTGAAAACAATTTTGCATTGGATTATTGGGATATGCAATCAAAATAATTGGTATTGAGAACTAGCTGTTACAACTTAGAACGAAAATTGTACTCCAAAACCAAAGCAATATTTATGTAAGAATTGGCCTAACTAAAGATCCCATAACCAACTGCAGTTATTTGCTTGTGCACTCTTGGCACACCCATTTCAGGCCAAGCAACATGGAACAGTTTGACATCAAATTTGGCAGCATGCATGCACTCCATGCTGTGATTCAGCTCCCTCACATGTGCATCATAGAGAGGTTAATTCACAGTTGTGTGCCTTGATCACCAGAGTGAGTGAGATCCAACTGCCGAAACAGCGCATTGTTGTGGATGAACTGTCCTGAGACATGGACTACTTATTGGCCCGGGGAGCATTGAGCATTGGATGCAGCTGAAAGCAGGTTCAGTGCCAGCATGAGGGCGACGCCGGTGAACGACGACGCCAGCGCGACGCCTCCACGGCTGCAGAAGGAGCCAAACCTGTCGCATATCGGGTTCCACCGCGCGTGCACGTTGCCGTTCTTGCCTAGCTCCGCCATCGCCGCCGCTGTGGCCGTACCGGTCGCCAACAGAGCCATGGTCACCTGGACCAATGACAAGAGATGACAATAATGCCGTGTATGTATCCATATGAATTGACTGATGATGCAATGGTTTGAGATTTGTCAGACGTGCTACAGTGCAGGCATATGCAAGTACAGCAACAGAGGTTTCAGTCAAGCAACTAGCTTTGGACAGTGGCAATCCAATAGATTCCTGATTAGGCGGAGATTTTGTAAGTCTATAGAACACAATTATTACAAGGCTCCAAAGTTCTGAACACATCAGGTTTGGCTGGGTTATGTGATATACAGTGTATGTGACAGCGCTCGCATTCTCCGCAAGCAATCATCTCTAGCAAGCAAGAACATATAATGCACATGCATGAAAACTGCCTTGTCTCTCTTGAACTCAAATGATTGGTTGTCAATGTGCTAGGACTGTTTCAAAGTTGATTTGTGATGAAGCTACTATATATTGAAATAATCTAAGTACTGTCTTTAAGTGAAGTATGGGCATATGGGAAGTAATGTTAGTATCAATCAATTAAAATAAAGGAAATTTTTCCTGCCAATGCAATTCTGCACAATCAATGCCATTCATTTAGTCCTAGTGAAAAAAATATCAAATATGCCATGATGACTTTGGTGTAGGGATGAAAACGATCGAAAACGATCGATAGGAGGACAAATCACTTTCATTTTAACATTTTTTTTCTCGAAAACAAAATCGATACGATATTATCGGAAACGAATACAACACCAATATTCCGGTAATTTCAAAAACTAAAGTAGTCGATCGGAAAATACATCGATAGTGATCAGAACCTATAAAAACGATATCCTAAAAAACGATAAAAACGCCAAACCGTAGAACATGAGAAGAGCCATAAAACTAACCTATCTCACATGACAATAGTAATAAATAAAGCCACAATTGACAAGACCACAAGCTAAAACCATAGTTCACACCATCTTAGGTCTCAAACAAGCTAAACCATAGATTCCGTTCGTGTTCATGGTGACTGTCTAGAGTTAGGATGGTGCAGTACGTGATTGGTTGATTGCCTTTTTGTTCCTATACGGATGAAATACTTACCGTATAGTTCATTTTCACAAAAATATTTGTCTTATGTGTTTGCTTCTGCAGATGGGATGCTTAGATGTGGGCCAACTAGACCTAAAGTATATGCATTACACAGTCTATAAATAAATTAGGATTCAAGGCCTTTGAATCAGTAACTACTGACGATAAATTATCGGCTAAATAGTGTAATCTTCGAAAACGGTCAGAAGAGGGCAAAATCATTTTCGCTTTCGTTTCCGATTATTTTTATCGTTATCGTTTTCATTTTTTCGATTACCGCCTCCATTTTCATTTAGGCCTGAAAATAAGAAAAAACTCGAAAACGATTTCCGAAAATCGGAAATTATCATTTTCGTTTTCATCTCTACTTTGGTGCACACAGGAATTCAGAGAAAAACCTCACCATGTCAAGCATGTGCACAACCAAACCAGCCATCCTCCGCCGTAGAATTAGGCGGCGGACGAGCAGCACCACGAGGTTATACGCGGCAGCAATGGCGTTGGCTATGACGAAGTACCTGCACAGCACACGATGAAATTCGGCAGGAACATGCATGGGCGCATGGCATGGCATGATGGCAAGCCTGAATAGTGAATTCCCAGAGGCAGAGCGAGGCCTACACGAACGCAGGCGTGTCCCTGAACTTGGCGGTGAAGGTCTGCGTGAGGGGCCTGGTGCCGATGATGGCGACCACGGCGGTGTAGGACTGGGCATTGAGCGCCATCACCGCGGCCGCCGCCGCCGTGGCCAGGGCCGCGGCCGCGCGCAGCACCACCGGTTGCAGCGCGACGAGCCTGTCCCTGAGCTGCGGCCGCTTATTACCGCAGCAGGTCGACGTCGTCGTCGTTGCCGCAGCAACAGCCGGTGCAGAGGGCGGCGGCGTCTTGCTGCCACGCTCGAGATCCATGGCGCGATCGGTGGCCAAGAAATGTAGACGAGCATTCAGTTGTTGGACGTGTGGGATTATTCAACAAACATTTGAGGCGAGATTTAAATGGTGCGTGGCTGGAAATTATGTGTTGAAAAAAGTGGCGGGCAATAAGTTTCCGCAAGTTTGGGTGACTTGTGTGATCGATGCTCGATTGGAAGAGCGTTGGTTTTGGGTTTACTTTAGTCTGTCTCAAATTGTTTATGTCCAGCTGATTAGTCAAAAAGGCTTTGGATAAGCTGGGACATGCATGTGGTACGTATGACAGTATGAGTCAGGAACATGAAGTGCCTGAGAAGAAACGTATGTTTCTGGTGCTGTTTCTTCAGGTTTTTGCAAAGTGGATTGGCAGAGGAGTGAGAGAGAAGCAATGATCAGGAGAGTGGAGAGAAACGGACATGAAATTCATACGCAGATGCAACTACCAAGGAAAATTGGTGGTCGTGGGACTTCAAATTCTATCAAAATCCAGAATGTTACAAACGTAATAGAGGGTAGGACATCAAAGGGGTGGTGGCGCAGTTGGCTAGCGCGTAGGTCTCATAGCTAAAGCGAGTGATCCTGAGGTCGAGAGTTCGAGCCTCTCTCACCCCAACTTTTTTGTTTTTTGTTCTCTTTTTCGTCTTTGCAATAATTTTTTGTTTGTTTTTATTTTTGGATGCAGATTCATGCTGAGTTCTTTACAGACCGCCACCGTTCTTCGAGTTTGTCTTACTATCCATGTTTTAGTTTAGTTTAGTTTTCTTTGGGCATTTTTCTTCAAACTAACGTAAATAACGTATGATTTGCCAGAAAAAAAAACGTAAATAACGTATGACATGACAGCAACATATTGCAAGCAGCATGAAAATAGAGAAAATCTACATCAGACATGGACAACGTGTGGGCTTCAAATATTTTTTTAAAAAAAACACGCCCGGACGCCCGCGCCTGCACTCCGTCTTCCCCAGCGCATCTGCATCCTGTGCCCGCCTATGCGGGGCCCACGCCGCCCGACTGCACGTGGGGAGTCCCCGCTCGCGCCCCTCCGCTCCTCACGCGCATGCACGCAGCCAGCAACTACTGCAGGTGACTACAGCAGGTGGATGCGCCAACATCCAGAAGAGGGAGGGCGGCCGTTGCCCAGCCGATGCCAGGAGGAGGAGGAGGAGGAGACACCGAGGCGAAGGTGAGGCAGCAGAAAAGCAAAGACAGAGATGTAACACCTGATCTACTTTTAAAACATCTAGATACAACACTTGCAACATACGTCTGAAGGCAGATAAAACACATGAAACATGCATATGAAAGACTAGCTACAACACCAGATCTACTTTTAAAAAACTATCAGATGAAAACATTTGCAACATATACGTACGAAAACAGCTGAAACACTTGAACACATGCGTATAAAACACTTGCAAAAAACACCTGAAAAATACTTCATATGTGTGAAAACATATGCAACATCCAAATAAAACATTTGCAAACATACGTGTTGAAAACGAGATGAAACATTCGGAACATATACTTGAAACATACGTGTATCGCCACCGCAACATATGCAACATTCCGATCTACTTTTGCAACATCAAGATGAAATACTTGCAACATCCAGATGAAAACATCTAAAACACTTAAAACATACACTTTTGCAACATGGGCTTTTGCTTGGACGAATGGAGGCATGCCGACACAGAGGTGGACGGCGGCGCATGGACCTTGTTGTGCGGCAGTGGTACGGGCAACTCGCCGGCGGGCGCGGCGTCAGACGACCTCGCCTGCTTGATGGAGCATCCGTCGTTAAGGCTCGCTGGCTCGGTAGAGGCGGCCGCGGCTCGCCAGCTCAGTGGAGGCGGTCACGGCAAGCGGGCCGGCCGCGGCGAGGAGGCAGCGCGGTGGAGGCGGGTGAGCAGACTAGGCCTGATGGGGAATGCGGTGCGGAGGAGGTAGCGTGGAGGAGGCCGCAGGGGATGGGGCACGGTGCTGCGGGGGACTGGCGGCGGGGAGGTGACGTGGGATGGGCAGATGGGCATGGCGACGCAGGGAGAAAATAGCGCAACAAGCATCGGGACGTGCGGGATGGGACAAACGGATCGGTACGCGCAGATGAGACAAGCGGATAGGGTCACTATGCGAACAGCGCGTGCGGGAGGGAGACATCCGTCCGGACGTCTTAATTGCATCATTATCACTTCAAAAAAGAACGTGGGTACAACTCTGCATTCTCAGTCTGAAACAGCAAATGGGTGCAACTGCCATTTAACAGGATACTTCTCATCAGGATAGACAGACAGATAAAAACACACTGTATTTGAAGAGCCATTTGCAATGTTTTTTTGTCGTTATTCACTAATAACAAGGCAGCAAGAGCCCACGGGCTTGGAATTTGATGACACTTGAAAGTCAGGCAGAGCCCATATTACATACAAAAGAATCAAGGGTAACAAGCTACAGTTCTGAGTATCCACACCCGCACTTCGTTTTTACTCGTTCTAGCACGATCGCAATGGCAAAAGCCGCGCGCTTTGCCACTATGCTCTTCAGGGAGGGATTCCTTCGTCGAGCAGCCGATCGCCAAACAGCGGTATCATACAAGGTATTCTTAAACCTTTTCAGATATTTTAAACATAATAAACACAGTTACACAGGTCGTGACATGTTACTTTTTACCACCACTTGTAACCCCTACTACAACGTTGCTCACCTGCATACACAAACAAAATAAAATTACCAACCTTCACTTTACTGGGGCAAAGCAAATGCACAGGTGTGAGCAAACAGCATAACATGCTTACCAATTTTCCCTTGTCATCTACTGTCATTGGGTTTTCAACAACAACAGTTACATTCTGCGATTGGTTCGTTGGCTGCCCAAGTAGGACGAAAAGAATTTTGTGAGAAATCACATTAAACTTACATGAATTTTGCGATAATTCGTAAAATAAACATACCACAGAAGTTGACGGGATGCTATATGAATTTCCACTTGATGCGGGTAGTGCAGGTGGCAAAGGTCTCACGGGAGTCACCTGATGTTAAAAATTTAATAAATATGTTAAAATCAGGGCGGTGTCATTAGACACTTAAGACTATTTGTAGCACAAGCAGACCCATAAAGGAAATTAACATACCCCACCAACATTTGTAATGAAGTTGCAAACAGCACATTTGACAGACGGTGCTCCATATGGATACATCAACACTGTTTGGCACTGGCCACAGTTCACATGAGCTATGCTACTCACTGCAGAATGAACAAAAATGGAGTGAGAAGACAAATTAATAATATAAATGATATCATCATACAACATGTGTGCATGCATAAATCGAACTTCAATTATGATGGTGACACACACATCAGAGTAGGAAACGCTATTAATCTGCTTGTTGCCTTTACATTTCCCATGATTGAATTGCTTTATGTAGTTACTCAGGGAAACAGATTCTTTCGAGATGATGCGCTCACCCCCATCCCCCAGCAGGATGAGGAAGTGCCCAACTCAGAAGCTGGGAGAGCATAATGCACTGAATTGCATTAGTGCTAGCTGTTCACTGGTGGCAAGTGTAGTCCAATCTATTGACAGACTGGCTATGTGCTGTTCAACATGCAAGAAGCTTTATCCTGATTTATGTACACTAGGGGTAGATAAACCACTAGCACAATAAAGTATCCATTATGGTGCTCGTGAACTTAATGGCAAAACAACTCTTCTGCCTGTATCGAACATGCATCCTACTCTTGAATTTTAACATGTTCATAGATGAAAAATCAAAAGCTTATGGATCTGCAAGATAAGTTTACATTTACACATACATCAGTACCTGGTCTGACAAGATTGACTGTGTCACAACATGAGCATCTTACAGTTGTTGCACTGCGAGTATACATCAATAATGTCTGGCAGCCACCACATATAAGTCGAGCCATCTCCATTGCTGCACAAGAAATTCACCATTATTTCATAAGCACACGACAAGAATTATTTGAGGTGAGAGATTCTAGAGGAGGGGAACAAAATAGAATGAACAGGGTACCATAAAGTTCAAACTGTTTTTTGGACTATCCATGCCATTACCATGTACTAACTCAAATTTTTTTGTTTGACTAGCTATAATTATTTGACATTATAAAGGACCTAATATCAAGGTCACATGACCTAGTCCCCATGTATATGATAATCAATGAAAGCTTGGTTATGAGGTTTTCCAAACAAAAATGAAGTCATATACTGCAAGTTGGATTTAAATTGACTTAAGACTAGATAATACTAATTCTATGTTAAACAACAATACGAAGATCTCTATTTCTCATACCCAACCTCTGTAAGAGCTTGGAAATCTGGTATTGCAACCGACACCGAGAATGCTACATAAATTGTAACTTCAACTCGGTGTGGTAAGTTAACAAAAAAATGATTAACAAAATACTACAAACCAAATACAAAGCTCATGATGGTATGCGGCTTTAGAGCTATGTAGTTTGAAGGATAGCTAACAGTCTCATTTAAATTACTGGGCAATACCATGCAAGCAAGGTCAATCAACAGTGGAAGAAACGCTAGATGGTGTGAGATAGAAGTGTTTAGGGAAAGATAAAGCAGCCCATATCAATGAAAGTATTGTCAGACTGCAGTGGATATAATTGTGTGAATGTGGATGACATGGTGCTTCTCTCAAGATTTCAACTGCACTCGCAGCTCGTAATATTTTCTACAAAAGCATTTGTATCACCTCAATTTAAATCAGTGGGTACTAGTGCCTGCAGCTATAAGCCTACAACTGATGTTTTCTCTACTTTTCCCAGAAACACAAGTTTCAATTGCATTTGCTCCCTCAAAGGGATGTTTAACAGCAACAAATCAGAGGGACATAGTTCATTGTTAGAGCAAGGAAAGTGACAAACCCAAACAGTAAAATTGTGCAGTAGCAGAAAAAGGCAGTAGATATGAGTGTAGCAGCTGACATCCAGCAACAAGTTTATATTTCTATTGAAAAGCAAAGCATGACAAATTAGCCTGTGAAACAGATCTTGTTCAGTGGGGAAGGAACATTCCTCTTCTTTACCTTTACAAAATATAAGTTGGTGATAATATATCTGGATTAACAGAAAGACTATTTACAGATGACATCTAAAATGCAAGGACTCTCTATCAGCGCAACAAGTGTACAATACTATATTGTAATATTTAATGATGCGCATGAGCTTGTTATGATGCACCAACACTCAATGGTCGATATGATTGAGCAAGAAATACTTTGTAAACGGGGCCATGAGTAAGTTGCAAATTGCAAGATATCAGACATTATTAGTTATAAGGCAGAGCTCATTCCTCTTCCATTGGTCATCCAAACCTAAACTATGTGATATCAGTACCTGCACACACTTGACACTAAACACACAGCATAAAGCTGAGATAGATTGGACATTTGGACTTAATGATTGATGAAAACACTCCAGCCACCGAAACCTGATGAATTACTCATCAATCTCTAAATTTAGCATTTCCCTAGGTAGACACCAATAATGACATCCTCTGTGGGACACCCCAGACCTAGTCTGCCCCTTTAATTGTCACCTATGTATTTGCATCACCAGTCTCCTAATCCAGCATCAACAAGATTCTAAATCATGACATAAGGATATGACATTTGTTCCCCAACCTGCAATGTGTGTGCCTTTGATGTTCAATCATGAAAAAAGATAAACAAAAGCCCAGACGCGCTACCTGGAGGCGGCACATTGGTGACCGCGTGGCATACTGCGCAACACACGCTCGGAGCACCTCTTGGGTAGAGCAGAACGGTCCTGCACCCGTGGCACACGATCTGGCTCTGCATGCCTGCAAAAAGTTCCAGCCAAAGCCACTGCGGATGAGCACATAAGCATATACACAATCAAAGCAATCCCATCACTGTCTCATCCCAATCCCACCCCCAGTCCAATCCTATTCTTGCTGTACCAAATATCAGTTGCATCCCACATCAACCAGACATCAACGATTAACGTCTCAATGAGCTTGGGGCCATCGAAAAAAAAGCCCCCTCCAGCTTCTTCTAATCCCAAATCCCGCACACGCCATCCGATTCTCCCACACCGATCGCCCTAACCAGCACGATTAGATCTCGCTACAGAGCGTCGTACCATCCCCATACCTCCAGCGAGACATCGGAACATCGAAAGGCGCCGGATTTACTGCGTGCGTACCTCAAGAACCGCGGGGGGAGGAGACGGCAACAAACCCCTCCAAGAACCAACGGGATGAACTAAAAAAACAAAAGGACGCTGCGAGGGGGGGAGCGAGACCGCGAGAGGCACCGGTAGCGGCGGCGAGAGGCAGGCGCCACCGATCTAGGACGTGCCCCGCGGGTGCGGCAGGCAGGCGGGTGGTAAGCGCGCGGGTGGTTATTAGGTCAGGTCAACACGGCCGGAAGCGACGAGAGGTTGGGGACGACCCGCAGGAAGCGTGCACGTGCCCGAGTACGTGTCCCCGCGGAGAACACGTAAACCCCACGCGCGCCCGCTTTCCGCGGGGACGATCGAGCGGCTGAGGAGGCCTGCAGTGGGAACGGACGGCTGGGATTTTGACACGTCAGCCTAGAAGCGTTCGTCCCGGCACAGCACCGACCTGGGGTCGGAGAAGATGAGCGCTCTGTAGGCTGTCTTTGCAAGTCGTCTTCTTTCTCCGACGAGAATTTTCCACGCACCCAAAAAAAAAAGGAAAAGAAAATCGGGGGTGAAACCCTAACCCTAGAGGAGGGAAGGGGAGCGGAGAGCCGCCGCGATGGCGGAGGAGGCGGAGGGGATGGACCGGTTCGACATGGAGGGGGACTTCGAGGGCGGGCGGTTCGGCCGCGACGGGGAGTTCTACTACCGGAGCCGGCGGGAGCGGGCGCCGCAGACCCGCGACGACGCCATCTACGGGGTCTTCGCGGAGGGCGACTCCGACTACGACTCGGAGGACGACGAACAGTCCCGCCGCCGCCGCAGGAAGCGCCGCAAGGACGGCGGCGGCGGGGAGGCCGACCTCACCAAGCCCGTCCAGTTCGTCTCCACCGGCAAATTCATGCCCACCCAGGAGCCCGAGCCTGAGGAGAGGCCGGGGCTCGGGCGCTCCGACGCCACCACTGATAAGGCGGAGGTGGCGGAGGCGGCGGAGGAGCAAGACGACGAGGGGGGCACCGAGATGCTGCCGGCTATATTCGGCAAGATCAGGGACGGCGCGCGCGCGAGGCGGGAGGAGAAGGAGCGGGAGCGGGAGGCGGCGGCGCGCCGGCGACAGGCGGCGGGTCTCGGGGCGGGGGAGCCGGCCGCGGCTCCTGGGAGCCTGGAGTCGAACTCCAAGGTGGCCAAGATGATGTTGATGATGGGGTACAAGAAAGGCATGGGCCTTGGCAAGAATCAGCAGGGGATCACCGCACCAGTGGAGTCCATTCTGCGACCCAAGAATGCAGGCCTGGGGAGCGTCGAGGGGTTCAAGGAGCCCAAGACCCTGTTGCCTAAGGAGAACGTGCCGGCCCCACCGCCTCCACCGGCATCAGCGAGGAAGGAGAAGCGCTGGTACAAGAAGGCTACCACAAAGAAGGCTCCAATCTTGACGAAGAATGAGCTCCTGGCCATGCGTGCTGAGCAGGAACAGGAGGAACAGCCTGCTGTTGTCCAGAAGGTGATCGACATGCGAGGGCCGCAGGCGCGGGTGCTGACAGATTTGAAGGGGCTCAATGAAGAACAAGAGATGGAGGCGAATGATGTGCCCATGCCAGAGCTGCAGTACAATGTGCGCCTGCTTGTTGATGAGGCTAGAGCTGATATTGTGAGGTTGGATGCACAGCTGCGGCGGGAGCAGGAGAAGGTGGCTAGCTTGGTGCGGGAGAAGGAAAAGGTTGCTAAGCAAGAGGCATCGCAGAAACGCCAGCTGCTGGTGATGGAGAGAATTGCAGAGACACTGGAGAAGGTCCGGGAGGATGATACATCCGGCATGCTCACTCTGGATGGGTTGATTCAGACATTCCACGGGTTGAAGGTGCAGTTTGAGGAGGAGTTCAAGATGTGTAGCATTGCATGGATTGCTTGCCGATATGCTCATCCATTGCTAATCCGTGTCTTCCAGGGGTGGCAGCCCCTGCAGAATCCAAAGTTTGGGTTAGAAGTCATGAGAAAATGGAAGGACCTGCTGCAGGGGGACCAACCATATGACTTCTCAGATAGTGCTGCATCAATGACGCCATATGTGCAGCTTGTTAGTGAAGTCATCCTACCGGCTGTGAGGATATCAGGAATCAATTCGTGGGAGGCTAGGGAACCGGAACCAATGCTCCACTTTCTTGAGTTATGGGATAATAAGAAGTTGCTGCCTCCTGTTTTGCTTCAATCAATACTGGAGCATGTAATCATGCCAAAGCTCTCAGCTGCCGTGGATTCATGGGATCCTCGCAGGGAAAGTGTACCAATCCATGTCCAGGTGCACCCATGGCTGCCAATGCTAAGGGAAAGGATAGAGACCTTGTGCCATTCTATTCAATACAAGTTGAGCACTGTCCTCCATGTATGGCATGCGCATGATGCTTCAGCATATGCAGTGTTGTCTCCGTGGAAAGGCGTGTTTGATTGGCAAGCTGGGAAGACCTGATTGTGCGGTATATCATTCCTAAACTGAGATTGGCACTGCAAGACTTTCAGATCAACCCAGCAAACCAGAAGCTCGATCAGTTTAACTGGGTGATGTTGTGGGCATCTGCAATCCCAGTACACCTCATGGTCCATATGTTGGAAGTTGATTTCTTCAGCAAGTGGCAGCAGGTCCTGTACCATTGGTTGTGCTCACCAAATCCTGATTTCAATGAGATAATGAACTGGTATAAGGGATGGAAGGGCCTTTTCCCACCAGAGTTACTTGCCAATGAGCGCATACGGATTCTGCTAACTGCTGGTCTTGACATGATGAACCAAGCTGCTGAAGGACTTGAGGTAGTGCAGCCTGGGGCTAGGGAGAATGTGGGTTACTTGAGGGCAACTGAGAAGCGGCAGTTTGATGCAGCACAGCAAGCTTACCATGCTGTCCCAGGAGCAGCCATGGCGGATTTGAGCTTCAAGGAGTCTATACAGGCATATGCAATGGAGCAAGGTTTGCTATTTATGCCTAGAGTTGGCAAGTTCTACAATGGCATGCCAGTGTATGAGTTTGGCACCGTTAGTGTTTGCATAGACTCTGTGAAGCGACTACTGTATGCACAACTTCAAGAGGGTGTTGAGAGATGGAGTGCTGTAACTCTTACACAATTGATGGACATGAACCGAATGGGAAGAGCACACTAGTTGATCGCGTAGTCTTGGAGTTGCATGGCATTTTTAGTTTCTTCCCTGTCGTGTAAAATTCTTCAGAGGTGTCAACCATTAGCTTTTTTGAACAATAACTCTGTTGAAGAAGAAAGGGGTTGGATCTATATCTAAATGTGCTGGATAATGCTGTACGTCTCATTGCGCTGCCGGTATTTACGGTTACGGTGCTGCTGTCAATATGATGTGTCTCTTTAGTAAATTCTATCCGGAAGCTCTGTTGTAACTGCTGAAGGACTTATGTCTTATGCTTATGCAGTTGCTGGCAGATCCTAATTACTCTGAGCACTTCTGGTTGTGCACTATAATGTGTTTGTCTTCTAGTACGCTTTTGTCGCTATAAATTCTTTCTGTATTTGTTCACTCAATTGAATCTCCTCCCTCAGATTGCTTGAGTGTTGGCTTTTCCTCCAAGTCATAAGTCTGATAGAATGCCATGTGCGTGGACAGTGATGGTTATAATTTTTATTCTTGATGAACTTATTATTTCATATACTTTGTTCAACTGTTGCTTCAACATAGTTGACCTACCATACTCCAGGAGAGTTGCTGTGGATGGCTTTTGCTAAATTTTTATACTGGAAGGTGTAAATAATGGTAGTGACATTTATTCTAAAGATCTATTGTTTGCTTGTGGAACAAAATTTCTGGAGTGTTAGATTGTTAAAGTGTCGTGTTAGTGTGGCCTGTGGTCCTGAATGGTCGTGATTCTGTCATTACCATGAGGATCTTCATTTTGTTGGCTCTTGTTATTTTAAATTACACACACACAAAGTGCAAGATAAGCTATCTTCATCTTTTAAAACCCAATCATGTGTATCTAAATCTGGGAAATGACTGAGCATTGGTACTACTGCTCCCTTAAATTCTCGAGTGACCTGTAATTTCTGGATTTGTTTCTTCATCAAGTTTGATTTGATGTTGGCATGTTTACAGTTTGATCAGCTATTCATGATTCATTTTTATACTCTCTTAATCTCATTATGATGCATATCTATAGGTTAGACAACTACAGATTTAGTTCATGTGACTTACGATGCCGATGTCGACTTTGTGTACCTCATTGTTCTGAACCATTTGAAATTCTAATCAATGTTATTTTTAACTGACAGTTGTATAGCCAAAACCGCTATTCTCAATAATCAAATTAGTAGGATGATAAATATACAAACTGACATTCTTACAATGTACTAAAACACAAATAAAAATAATTCATGCTGCTTCCATTGTACAGCCCATTTTTTTCGCAGGCATCTGATCCTTTAACTAGTTCTATCAGGGGCTCTCTACAACAGTGCTACAAGCTAATGCAAGTGTGGACACCAGTGAGCTGCTCAGTGCAGGAGACATCGATGGGCATAAACTGAACTGAACCTGCTCAACTGTCCTGACTCTGAGGTCCATAACGTCTGTGATCAAGCCAGGCCTCATGATCTTGTCACTTACAGCACACGCACCCTTCAGCATCTTGGCGACCAAAAGACCTATTTTCAGCAACTGGCGTGCTTCCTCGGTGAGTGTCCAGACCTGACAGAATAGCAGAAATTTCAGATGATTTAAATCAAAGTCTAAGATCTGATAGCACTAGCACTTCAGGCATTTTGAAGCTAGCAATTTTGAAGATCTGATCATTTGCTCTACTTTTACAAATAAGTTAATCTCTCATAACTCATCAAATTTTTAATGAATCAACTGTATTCATAAGAATTGGATCAATACCTAGAAACTAGGAACACAACAGACCAATCAATGCAAGTAGCTCTTACTGCATAAATAAAAGCAACATGAAAAGGATACCTTCCTTGAACTTTCCTTTGGAATTCTACCAACTCTAGCAAGTAGATTGTGCTTGTTCTTGTCTTTTTTTTCGATTAGTGCTTGTGCTTGTCTAATATGTGTTAATATAAATAAATTGATCAATCATGCAAACAGCACCTCAATTAGGTAATCTGAACAATGTCATGTCATCTATGTACTATAGTGCTTTTCTGCTTTGACATAAAAAATGCTTCTTCCTGTAGTTTGCTGTCTAAACTTGCTAGACAACCATATTCAAATAACTAACAATACAGTATGAGAACCATTATTGGGATTGTTCTTCACCTTTTCTAGGAGGAACTGCTCGTCAAAAGGTAATCTGGGATCAGTGTGACATCTGCCACTAACAATCTCCAGCAGCAGTACACCAAAGCTGTAGACATTGGCCTTTTTGGTCAGCTGCCCTTAGATGGCATACTCGGGCGCAAGGTATCCTCTGAAAGAAGAATACAAGTCAACTCTGTTTTCCTATACATGAGAATCAACAGGTAGTGCGCCACTGCTTACAGCGTCCCTGCAACCCTGGTGCTGATATGTGTCTTGTTGCCTGGGAAGAAGTTTGCCAGCCCAAAGTCTTCTGTCTTGGGTCTCAGGTTTCTGTCAAGGAGAATATTGCTCGCTTTGATGTCACGGTGGACGATTGGTGGACGGACTTCTTCGTGAAGGTAGGTGAGCCCATCAGCAACACCAATGCAGATCTTCACCCTTGTTCTCCAGTCAAATCTGATGCCACTGCAGGAAAAAAAGGACGCGCTGGTTGAAATTTCTGTGGTTGAAGCTACTCCAGTATGAAGAACATTGCCACGTTGTAGCAATTCAGCAACGGGGGCCTCACTTGCAACAAGAGTTTTTTTTCTCGATTCAGTAAAGGGCGTGCTTGTAAAATCTAACTAACCAAGCCATGTAATTCGGACCTTTTTTATCAAACTTTAATAAAATGATGCGCGGCTCTCTGTGTTCGAGAAAAAAACAATAGTTGTTATTTTTTCCTCGATTCCTAAAATTGCAGCAAATTCTTCTGAGATTCATGTGTTCCCGACAGGAACATACCTGGGCACATAATGACATCTTACAGGAATCAGAGTACCTGATGTCTGAACTAGGCTACCTCAGAGAGATTAGAGCAACCTGTATCTGGACACCTCAACCTACCAGGCCAGGAAGACACGGCCGAAAGAACCCTGTCCGAGCTTGTTTTCTGGGCAGAAATTTCTTGTGGCTTTTCTCATCTCCTTGGACGAGTAGATTTTCACATTGCCCGTGATTGGGATGTCTGCGAACAGAATCGAATGAACTACAGTAAGGTTCGATTGAAAGGAAAAGTTTACCTTGGTCATGTTGCACAATCTGGCTTCCGAGGAATTCTTCTTCCTCCAGAAAACAGGGAAGCAACCCATTACTATTGATTCGAGCTCTCTTCTTTGGAATTCAGATCTTCAGATATGGAAAAGAGATGCTGGTATCTACCTGAGGAAGAAACTAGTCAGTGGACTTGAAGAGACCAATCACCAGAAGTCAAAACTGTTAGTTTTAGCAACCTTACTCTTTCTGCGAGAGCAATGAAAATAAAGAGTAGTTAATCGCACCCAAGTTTGCAGATTCATACAAAGCTCCTCGGAAGAATGAGCTAAAAATGCTTCAAATGCATGTCGTAGATCAAGGTCAAGAAGCTATATGGCTACAAGTGTTGCTATAAATCTAGAGGGCCCATATGCAAATATACTAGTATAGTCGTATAGATAATCCTCATATTTGTTTCAAAGGAAAACAAAAGAATTCTGGTCTGCTTTATGTCATAAAAAATACCTGTAGAAACCAATAGTGCTTTTTTTATAAACAAGAAACCAATAGTGTTGTACTACTACCTTGACTCATTAAATTCACAATTCGAATAATCAACTGAGCCCTTGTTTAGTTCGCGAAAAGTTTTCTCAAAAAGTACTACAGTATGTATCACATCGAATCTTGCGATACGTGCATGAAGCATTAAATGTAGACGAAAAAAAATTAATTACACAGTTTGGTTGGAAATTACGAGACAAACGTTTTGAGCCTAATTAGTCCATGATTGAACACTAATTACCAAATAAAAACAAAAGTGCTACAGTAGCTAAATTTCCAACTTTTCACCAACTAAACACGGCCTGAGAATTCAGACAAAGTATATTATACTCAGCCTGTTCACTTGTTGATTTTAGCCAGCCTAAACCAGTCAATCAGCAGTATTTTCCTCTAAATAAACCAGCATCAGCCAACCTAAACCAGCACCCAGCAGCGAAGAGGTCCGCTTAACTTATAAGCAGCACTGCGCCAGATATGGTTCGCGGCGGCGGCGGCGGCAGCGAAGGGTTACTTTGCACGCCGTTCTCGAGAACGTCATAGCAGAGAACTTCTGCAGCCGGTGCCACACTGCCGCAAGCAATGCTCGGACCGGACGGACGGCCGGCCGGCATAATTTCGGAGCGAGGGGAGCTAGCTAAACTCAGGGATGGAAAGTTTCTTAGCCTTAACTAAAATAGCATCTTCATGAATTACCCGTCCTAAGAAAGTCCAAGATCCACGAGAGATTGGAGTTCCAAATTTGTTAACTAAAATGGCATCCGCATGGATTACTTAGGCCCTATTTGGTTGATCTGTGGCTGTGGGAAAAAACTGCTGTGGGTTGTGAGCTGTGAAAAAGCTGCTGTGGGCTGTGAGCTATAGAAAAGTTGAAAGCTGTTTGGTTAAACAAGTATAAAATATACCTTTTATCTTTATCTCTCTTGAAACAACTATGGAAGAGCTTTTTATTCCACCAATTTCGAAAAGCAGAAAGCCAAAAGCCAAAAACAGGGTCAAACCAGCTTTCAAAAATGAATTACGGAAAAGCAGCTGTTTCTAAAAAAACACCCTCCAAAAACAATCCCTTTAATTAAGCTTTTGGCTTTTAGGGCCAAAAGCCAAAAGCCCAACCAAACAGGCCCTTACTCATCTAGGAAAGAGTCCGAGATGCCGAGGAATTGGAGTTCCAAATCATTCACTGCGTTGCGATCCTCCATTCATTGCGAGAGATCATTAGAGGATCCCGTCCAATACATCGAAGCGAAGAGGAGGAGGAGGGGGACGGGGGATTGTGAGCGTGTGCTGATGGCGGCGGCGGCGGCCCGAGCGACGGGGAGCAGCAGCAATGTGGAGTTCATCCGTGCGCGCAGCGACGAGCGGGAGTACCGCCGCGTGGTGCTCGCCAACGCGCTCGAGGTCCTAGTAATCAGCGACCCCGACACCGACAAGGTCCGTCCCCGGCCGCCGTTCGCCTGCTCTGCTCCTCTCTCGCGGAGCGCCGCCATAGCGAGGAATGCTCCTTCGTGCGCTGAAGGCTTAGCGATTGATTTGGTTTCCTAACCTCTCTCTCTCTATGCTTGCTTCTCGCTCTGCTCAGGCGGCGGCGTGCATGGAGGTGGAGGTGGGCTCGTTCAGCGACTCGAGGGCCTCGCGCACTTCCTTGGTGAGAGAGTTCACTCCTTCACTCGCCCTCGCTCATCTCGCTTTGCTCGTTTCCAACGCTTCGATTTGATTTCTCCTTCGATTCGTTGCGCGCTCGTGCTGATCGATCGAATCAGCATTCGGATGATTCGTGTTGATTCGTGGAGTGAGGATCTGGTCTAGTACGGCTCTAGCCAATGATTGGCCATTGGGTGGGGATTGCAAGCCGCACCCAGCGGGGCTCTTTCGCCCTGCGATTCGCTCGATCGCTGGCGTGGATCCTCTTTTGTGATCCGGCTGCGGTCTTATTGAATTGCCTCTTAGACGAATCACGGAGACGCCAACTTGGCTACTAGAGAGTTAGTTGCCTTTGTTCGTCGTGGTGCTTTCCTCGGTCAAATGATAGATGACGTTGCGTATTTGCAGTCTATAAGTCAGTGGATGTTCCTTCTGTAGCTCGGCATGTTCTGTCCGTCGGACTCGGATAAAATGATTGACGGTTTCATATAATTAATTATATAATCAGAGCAAAGAGCTGTGTTTTTTTTTTGGAGAGAGAGAGCGGCCATGACCATTTGATTGATCCTGTACATGCATCCCTTGGTCCCAAACCTTTTTGGCCAGGGCCCAGGGGTCATGCATCACTTTTCTCAGAAGTCTTTAAAAATTGTTGGGTTAACGTAAGTCTCCAGCTCGGTGACACTATTGAATCGCATCCATGGAGCGATTTAAGAATTGTTTACTCAGTACAGGACCATGTTCTCCAAATAAATCCAAATCGCTCCTGGACCTTCCTGCGTGGTAGGATCCTTGGCATCTTCCTCCCTCTTATGTGACTTTGGTGCACACGTGGCGCTACCAATTACGCAAGCACGTACTGAGCACTTGCAGGACTGTGCCCAACAACCTATTATTATTTCATTATTTGCCATGCATGCAAGGCAACCTGACAGTCTACGCTATAGTGGCGTGGGACGCTGTGTTTTTGAACAATCTGTTGCTGTAATCTTGAAGAGGCAACATCGTCTAAAAAAATATTTGATGGATACCAGTGTCGTTGTACAAAAAATCATTTTCTTCTAATCATAGTCATGATTTCTTACCATTTGTTGTAATCTTGAAAATACACTATCTGTTTCTTTGTTTTTTTTTCCTTGTCTTGGTATTGAGTTTATTACCATGTCTTGCTTAGAGAGCACATGCTATTTTATGCCAGCGAGAAGTATCCTGGAGAATATGAGTATATGAAATATATCACAGAGGTACATTCTATTCACCAATTCCACCAATTCCAATCTAGGTAGAGGTTCGGGGGGTTCGCGGGGGGTGCCTTCATGCTCATTTCATTTTGCAAAAAAAAAAAAGCTCTTAAGTTCAACAATTAGCATAAATCACACAACCATATAGATTTGGATGAGTTTCAACTCAGTTGCAGTGTGCTCTATATGATTTAAGAAGCTGAGCCTGTCACAATGTGAGACATGACTTAGAGAAAAGACGAGAGGAAATGCTTTTATTAGGCAAGCGATGACAGGAGGCGTTTTATGACTCGTGCATTGTTCGGGGGACACTGCTTGTAAGGTTCTACCAAAAGGCCATAGGGGCATGGTGGTTAGAGTACAGCTCAAATGGTTCAACCTTCCAGTCTTACCATACATGAGCAATGCAAATCTGGGTGTGATCTCGAACAAAATACACTTAGCTCTGATGGATAAGTCTTTGTGGGGCTGCTGCATGGTGGTTATCAAGGACAGCATCCTTGACTGAAGGACAGCATATAGGACTGGCATCTTAGACTCTAGGACAGTATCTTAGGACAACATCTTAGAAGACAGCATATTAGCATCTTAGACTAGCATCTTAGACTAGCATCTTGGCATATGTTTGGCTGGCTAGCAGCCTATAAATATGTATCCCCAACCCCTCAGGTTGGCATGGCATTTGTGTGAGTTTGTGTGAGAAATAGACAAGAAAATTATCCCAACTCCTAGTGTCATCATCTCTCGATGAGAGTAAGAATTCTCCTACTACCAAGAGTGAGAATTCAGCGACTAACAACTCAGTATCGAGCCAGATTATCTCAGTAGCTTTGAGCATCTCCTCGCTCATCTCCTCCTCCCACCATTAACAACAGCCCCACCTTGCGAAAGCAAAGCAGCTCCGACCGCTCCTGCTCACTCCTCCCCAGCAGAGCGATTGTGCAAGCAGCCCTCTCCCCACGCAGCAGTCCCGTGCAGCGCGTCATGTCCAGGCGATCTCGGCCTTCCGGTCGCCTCGAGCACGCAGCGGCGTCGGCAGGAGGCCGAACTTGCTTGATGTAGAGGAACGCGAGCGAAGCGGCGGCAGAGATTACCGCTTGGCGCGGCGGCAACAAGCGCGAAATGGCAGCAGCAGCAGCGGAGACGGAAGCAGCGACGGCGGCGAATGCAGCGCGTGCGGCGGCAGCGGAGGTCGAGGCTCTGCGCGGCAGCATTGGCAGCTCCATTTCCGCTGACGACACCACCGACGCGGACCTCGAGCTGCTAGAGAGGGAGACAGCGCGAGCGCGGGCGGCGCAGTGGACAGCCGCGCATGCCCACGAGCGTGGCGGTAGCCCAGACAGGCGTGGACGAGCTGGCGGCGCTCCTGGAGGAGGCGCGCACGGCGGTGGCGCTCCTGGGGCAGCCACGCACGCCCACGAGCGCGGCGGCAGCCCAGACAGGCGCGGACGCGCCGGTGGCGCTCCTGGAGGAGGCGCGCACGGCGACGGCGCTCCTAGAGGAGGCGCGCACGGCAACGGTGGCGGACGGGTCGATGGAGAGCGCGGCCTTCACAGGCAGCGTGGCTCTCTCTCCCCGGATCGGTACCGACGGGTCGATGGAGAGCGTGGCCTTCACAGGCAGCGTGGCTCTCTCTCCCCGGATCGGTACCGTGGTTACCACGGGCTCCAGGCTGTTGTCAGGGACGTCGGTCCCGGTGGTGGGTGGCCTACCCTCACCAAGACCAACTACGTCGAGTGGGCTACGGTGATGAGGGTAAAGCTCCAGGTGCGGCACATGTGGGAGGCAGTCCGGTACGGCGACGTCGACTATGACCTAGATCGACGGGCGCTGGATGCTCTCATCGCTGCAGTCCCGCCCGAGATGCAGTTCTCGCTTACCAGCAAGCGGACTGCCAAGGAGGCTTGGGACGCCATCGCTGCGGCACGCATCGGCAGCGACCGCGCCCGCAAGTCCACACTGCAGGCACTTCGCAAGGAGTGGGAGAACCTGACCTTCAAGCCAGGTGAGGACGTTGATGACTTTGCTCTCCGTCTCAACACTCTGTTGCAGAAGATGGTGCAGTTCGGCGACGACACCTACGGCGAGGAGAGAGCTGTCGAAAAGCTCTTCCGCTGCGTCCCCGAGAAGTACAAGCAGATGGCTCGCTCGATCGAGTCTCTACTGGATCTCTCCACGATGTCGATCGAGGAGGCGATAGGTCGCCTCAAGGTTGTCGACAGCGATGAGCCACAGTCCCTCTCGGGGCCCATCACCACTGGCGGGAAGCTCCTTCTCACTCGGGAGCAGTGGCTTGCCAGCCAAGGTGACCGGAGGAAGGGGAAGCCTTCTTCCTCGACAGGCGGCCGCAAGCGTGGCAAGCCGCGCAAGGCGCGCAGAGACGCCCAGGCCGGGGCGCAAGGACGTGCCGAGGGTGATGCCCATGGAGGCGCCAGGCGGGCGGCCGGCGGCAGCACAAGCCAAGACGAGGCGACACCGCCAGAATCGCGGCCAGCTTGTCCATTGGGCCAAGGACTGTCGACAGCCACGATGCGGCCAGGCCCATGTCGCACAGGCGGTGGAGGAGGAGCTGGCTCTGTTCATGGCACATGCCAGCATCGAGCTACCTCCAGTGGCACCGGCCGCAGCGACTCTCCTCCACCTTGACGAGCCAAAAGCACCGCGCCTCCTCGGCGGCAGCCCGCAACAGCGACAAGATCGGCGGTGGTGCCTCGACACCGGCGCCACCCATCACATGACCGGTCGACGGGAGTTCTTCACCGAGCTTGACTCTAGCGTCCGAGGCTCCATCAAGTTTGGGGATGCCTCCGGCGTGGAGATCAAGGGCGTCGGCTCCATCATCTTCACCGCCGTGTCTGGTGAGCACAGGCTGCTCACCGGAGTCTACTACATCCCCGCGTTGAGGAACTCCATCATCAGCTTGGGACAGCTGGATGAGAACGGTTCGCGCGTGGTGGTTGAGGATGGAGTCATGAGGATTTGGGATCGCCGTCGTCGCCTTCTTGCCAAGGTATCCAGAAGCGCAAATCGACTCTACGTCCTTAACGTGCAGGTGGCACAACCCCTCTGTCTCGCTGCTCGTCGGGACGACGAGGCGTGGCAGTGGCACGAGCGTTTCGGGCACCTTCACTTCGAGGCCCTGAAGCGGCTTAGTGCCATGGAGATGGTGCGAGGCCTGCCGTGCCTCGACCATGTGGAGCAGCTCTGCGACGTCTGCGTGTTGACGAAGCAGAGGCGACTCCCCTTTCCCCAGCGGGCGAGCTTTCGAGCCAAGGAGAGGCTCGAGCTCGTGCACGGGGACTTGTGTGGCCCGGTGACACCGGCCACACCGGGAGGACGACGCTACTTCCTGCTGCTCGTCGACGACTTCTCCCGCTACATGTGGGTGATGGTCCTCGGCAGCAAGGGAGAGGCTGCGGACGCCATTAGGCGCGCGCAGGCTGCTGCGGAGGCGGAGTGCGGCCGCAAGCTGCGCGTGTTGCGCACCGACAACGGCGGCGAATTCACGGCGGCTGAATTCGCGTCGTATTGCGCTGATGAGGGCATTCAGCGCCACTACTCCGCGCCGTACAGCCCGCAGCAGAACGGCGTCGTCGAGCGGCGCAACCAGACGGTTGTGGGGATGGCTCGGGCCCTCCTCAAGCAGAGGGGGATGCCGGCTGTCTTCTGGGGAGAGGCGGTGGTGACGGCCGTCTACATCCTCAACCGCTCGCCTACCAAGGCGCTCGACGGCAGGACGCCGTACGAGGCTTGGCATGGGCGCAAGCCGGCGGTCTCCCACTTGCGGGTCTTCGGCTGCCTCGCGTTCGCCAAGGAGCTTAGCCACATCAGCAAGCTCGACGACAGGAGCACTCCGGGAGTGTTCATCGGCTTCGCGGAGGGCTCGAAGGCCTACCGCATCGTCGACCCGAAGACACAGCGTGTGCGCACGACGCGCGACGTTATGTTCGACGAAGGGCGAGGATGGGCGTGGGACAAGGCGGTGGACGATGGCTCGGCTCCGACGTACGACGACTTCACTGTCGAGTACGTCCACTTCGAGGGAGCTGGGGGAGTAGGCAGCTCTTCTTCGGCGAGCGCGTCTACCCCAGTCCCCGAGCCTCCACCGACCCCGGCGCCTGCTACTCCGATAGCACCACGCTCTCCAGCCAGGACCTCGGCTGCGATGAGTTCTTCGCTGGTTTCACCACAGCCGGCAACGCCACGCACTCCAGCACCGACAGGCACCTCTCCGGGCACGTCTACTCCAACACCAGCTCATGTCGAGCACAGCCCGGTTGAGCTCGCTACTCCGCTCTCACGACGAGGAGCGCATCGACGCGTACCACGATGGTGAGTCGTTGCGGTACCGTACGATGGAGAACCTTCTCGGCGACCAGTTGGTGCCGGGACCAACGTCCGGTCAGCATTTGACCCTCCATTCACTTTCAACTCGCAATCATATGTGAATGAAGTTTGCTCCAATTGATCTAAGGGCTTTTTAGGAGCTACCTAATGCTAGATTTGACAAATGTGCACCACACCTAATCCACTAGACTCACCTAGGTCAAGCTACCCGTCCATACCCCTCTTAATAATACGGCCAAAGGAAAAACAAAGTCCTAAACTACTCTAAGTGTCTCTTCAACACCAAAGGATACTTAGAACTAGTCCATCCTTAACCTTGTCGTCCATCCTTTGAAAACCGAAACGATTTCCATCGTAGGGGCATGACCACCATGATTGCCCAATCAATTTCCATTACCGTGACCTAACTTAATTGCCTCTGCAAAACACACGTTAGTCACAGTAATCATGTATTGTCATTAATCACCGAAACTCAACTAGGGGCCTAGATGCTTTTAAATCCGACTAGCTGATTGTTCCGCTTTACTTTCATAATTGAATTTATTTTCCATGTACTTTGCCCATTGTGCCATTGTTCTTTCTTTTATGCAATACTTCTTTCTCTTTATTTAGAATATTCTGGAGGTCCAAAAAATTTGAAGGATCTACGAGTTCTGCTGAGCCCTGGTATAACACACCATATTCAGTTGAAAATGTCACTCCTTCTGTGATACAGGTCCACCTTTTCAAAAGTCCCATTTTCTTGTATTCCCTTGACTTATTGAATTCCATCTTATTTTACCTAACCTGTTGATGTGATAACATATTGTTATTGATTTTCTCTACTTGACAGCAATGGATTAAAAAAGCTCCTACTGAGAAACTCCATGAAGGACGGGCCTGGTGCAAGCAGTAGAATCTTACCGCATATGACCTGAAGGTCCCGGGTTCGAGCCGCGGTCTCCTCGCATTGCACATGAGAGGGTAAGGCTTACCACTGACACCCTTTCCCAGACCCCGCACAGAGCGGGAGCTCTCTGCACTGGATACGCCCTACTGAGAAACTCCATCTCCCAAAACCTAATATCTTCGTACCAAAGGATTTATCTCTTAAAGAAGTGCATGAAAAGGTCAGTTTTGTAGTACCTCAATGCTAACATCATTGTACTTTTTTTACTCGAACATGCAGGAGAATCATCTGCGTACTCATATTCATATGAATTGTTGGGACCTTGCGTAGTAAATAACTCTAATGAAAAGGACAATGCTTTACCAGGTTACTTTTCCAACAGTGTTAAGGAAGAGCCCACTTTCACAGTTATGGTATAAGCCTGATATGTTGTTCTCCACACCAAAGGTTCACATTATCATTGATTTCCACTGTCCATTATCCAGCCACTCCCCTGAAGCAGTTGTTGCTACTGAGCTCTTTGTTGATTTGTTAGTAGATTATTTGAATTCTTATGGTAAGCACGAATCTGTAAATTTGGTGTACTTTTATATTTTTCCCATGCAAAACAATCAATTTAGAGAGTACTGCCAACTTTAAGTTCAAATGTATACTATCTGCATTTTTTGCAGCTTATAATGCTCACATTGCTGGTTTATTCTATTCAATATATCTTACTTCGGCTGGATTCCAGGTATTTTCAGTTACAATGATTGCTTTTATCTTCAGCAGTGGATGCTCCTAACAGCTACATTTATAATTATCATGCTGACTGTTGCAATTCTGATGCAATGTGAAGTTACTGGTATTATGCTAATTTTGTTAGAACTCTCCTAACTTTAAATGTTTATTAAAGATTTCTTTAGGTGGTTACAATGATAAGATGAGACTTCTCTTAAATGCCATACTAGTGCAAATTGCGAATTTTGAAGTTAAGCCAAACAGATTTTCTGCCCTCAAGGTAATATGTGGATCTTATTACTTTCGTTATTGTTCCCTTTCATAATATTTCTAAGCCGCATTTAACCTTACAGCTGATGTGATTTGAGTTGTTGACATGATATTTGGGAGTCCTGAAAAAGTACCAAGGTTCCATGGACCTTGTGCTCTGCATTTGTGTTATTCTTGTTCATTATTGAAATATATTTGTTGGCTTACAAGTTATATGGAAGTTATGGCAGGCTTCCAAAAAGCATCTGGCTAAATAGAAGGTTTTTTATACTTAAATTTAGTTTATACAAATGAAGCGATCTAAAATAATTCTTCTAGAAAAAGAAATTGTCTTTATTTTGGTGTCTAAGCTATGCACCTAACCATCCTGTATTACAGTCTTAGCCAATACCTATTAGAGTATCCACAGTGTATCCGATGCCCAGACGTCAACTCCACTGACACAACTCCCCGATGCTTTAATCCACGCCTTGCTCACAACGTGCAGTCGATGCCTACAACAAGCATAGGACTGGTTTCTGAACAGCATGGGACCCAGAACAATCGCTGTGCTGAACAATACTGCAAGTTGGTAGTTAAAATCTGACTTTGTTAAAAGTTAAAACCTGAAGTTGGTAGTGAAACAAGTTGATTGGCACTGACATGCTGAACAATACTGCAATAATCACCAAATCATTGCCTATTTGATCAGCTTTCAAAACAACAAATAAAAATATAAAATGGAGGAATGCCTCTAATAAACAGTCAATCGGCAGATGAGCTTCATGACAACCATTGAATTGAGTTGACATAATGCACCAAACAAAAGTACATTACGATAATAAGTAGGATGCAAGAGCACATAAAAAACACTGTAATTCCAAATTTTTAAAAAGATTTAAATACATGGGTGATCCATCAACTTGCGCTCTAGTTTCACTTAGATCCATCAGTTTTGAAAGTGGATTTTTTGTTCCATAATCTCTGTTAGTGGCGCATTCATAACCCATACCCCCATACCCGTTTGTTTCAATTTTTTAACCGACGTGGCACCTCCGGATCCAGGTGGACGCCGCACACACGCATGCATGATGCATGCATCGTCGGCGTCTTGGCGAAAGACAGCGGACTAGGCTGCCGCTGCGTCGGCTGCTGCTGCTGCTGGCCGTCGCCGTCCCCGGCGCCGCCGCCCCTGCTGCTCCCGTCGCTCTTCATCGGGGCGCCCCGACAGATCCCCCAACAGACCCAGTGGTTGCGCCGGCGGCCGGCCCAGCCGCAGCCTCCGGCGCTGCGAGAGCAGCGAGTGCTGGTGCCGCCGCGACGGGCAACGCAGGAGCCGCCGGCGCGGGCGTGGGCGACCACCCGCTGACGTTCTTCATGCACGACATCCTCGGCGGCTCGCAGCCGTCAGGGCGCATCGTGACCGGCGTGGTGGCGAGCGTGGCGAGCGTGGCGGCCAACGGGCAGCTCCCGTTCGCGCGCCCCAACACCAACATCTTCCCGATCCAGGGCGCGATGTCGCTGCCGCAGGGCGCCAGCAACCTCATCAACAGCAACAACGTCTGCCACAGCTGCGGGTGCACGCCGCGCCCCTCGGGCTTGGCACGGCCAGCGGCTGCCTCCGGCGATGGGGCCGGCGGGGGCATCTGCACCGCGAACGTGAGCGTCGTCGTCCCGAGCTGCGTGGGCGCGCAGGCTGCAGCAACAGACATGACTGGGCTCTCTCTAGTCTAGTCCACGAGGAGAGCAACTTCCGGTGAAGGATGTGGAGTGCGGTTGCTATCAGAAACGTGTACAGTGGACTCAAATACTAGTGCGGTTGCAGCCTTGCAAGGTTCGCGCAGGCGGTTCGCGGGATGTGGAACGAGAACGAGTCAAGCAGCAGCAGCGATGCTGTCCAGGATGACCGGGAAGGAGGGGACGAGATCGTGGCGGCACGTCCTACGTCGCGAAGGCACCTGCGTTGCCCGTCGCGGCGGCACCAGCACTCGCTGCTCCTGCAGCGCCGGAGGCTGCGGCTGGGCCGGTCATCCCTACAACGTGCCCTACGTCGCGGGCCTCGGCGGCACGTCCTCCGCCGTCGTCCAGAACAATGGCAACCCCGTCAACGGCGGCAACAAGAACATCCCCTTCGTCAACGCCGGGGACCTGCCGTCGGGCGTCACGCTCCAGAACCTCCTCTTCGGCACCACCACCGTCATCGACGACGAGCTCACCGAGGGACACGAGCTCGGCGCGGGGGTCATCGGCAGGGCGCAGGGCTTCTACGTCGCCAGCTCGCAGGACGGCACCAGCAAGACCATCGTGCTCACCGCCATGTTCGAGGGCCCCGAGGCACCGCATGGCGGCGACACGCTCAGCTGCTTCGGGGTCCACCGCATGGCCGCGCCGGAGTCCCACATCGCCATCATCGGAGGCACCGGCAAGTACGAGCACGCCAAGGGCTTCGCCGCCATCCAGACGCTGCACCCTGGCGACGAGCACACCACCGACGGCGTCGAGACTCTACTCCAGTTCAACGTTCACCTCATTTAATAAGCCGCTTCATTACCATTAGATCGACAATTACCAGTTCTTGTCCTTCCAGCAGTTTCGTGCAATGTTTGTGATTGCAAGCACTGTGCCAGCTTTCGGCCATGTATGTAATGTACTAATAGGTGCTATGATTGCATCAGCATATTGTGAGATTGTACGAGTAAATCAAGGATGTTTTCTGTTATTCTGAGATGGCTACTCCTAAAAGAAATGGCATGATAATATGACATCATCCTACGTAAAATGGAGCTGGATGGGTTTCAAGAACAACATTAGGAAGAGGGACATGTAGACCTCTCACTGTTCGCTGAAAGGCTACCATGTAATTCTATGGCGAACTTTATGTATCGAAAAAACCGTAACCAAAGAACAGATGTCCTGTCACAAAAAATAACTCGCCCTGGAGGAAGAAACTTTTGGCAATTAGTCCTTCATCTGAGCTCTGTCAAGGGCTTCAAGGCACCAAAAAGAGCTCTGTCAGTATGATACAGTATGCTGAGACTCGTAGCTTGTGCTCCTCAATTCTCATCCATGATGCGCTTCTGGAAGTCTGAGACCATACGCGGCGTTGACGAAGGGGATGTTCTTGTTGCCGCCGTTGACGGGGTTGCCGTTGTTCTGGACGACGACGGAGGACGTGCCGTCAAGGCCCGCGACGTAGGGCACGTTGTTGCTATTGATGAGGTTGCTGGCGCCCTGCGGCAGCGGCATCGCGCCCTGGATCGGGAAGATGTTGGTGTTGGGGCGCGCAAACGTGAGCTGCCCTTTGGCCGCCGCGCTCGCCACCACGCCGGTCACGATGCGCCCCGACGGCTGCGAGCCGCCGAGGATATCGTGCATGAAGAACGTCGCCCACGCCCGCGCCGGCGGCTCCTGCGTTGCCCGTCGCGGCGGCACCAGCACTCGCTGCTCCCACAGCACCGGAGGCTGCGGCTAGGCCGGCTGCTGGCGCAACCACTAGGTCTGTTGGGGGATCCGTCGGGGCGCCCTGATGAAGAGCGACGGGAGCAGCAGGGCCGGCGGCGCCGGGGATGGCGATGGCCAGCAGCAGTAGCCAGCGCACGGCAGACTAGTCCCCTGTCTTTCGCCAAGACGCCAACGTGCATGCATCATGCATGCACCTGTGCGGCGTGCACTGCACGCCGGTTAAAAAATTAGAACAAATGGGGGGTATGGCTAGGTATGCGTCACTAACAAAGATTATGGACCCAAAAACTCACTTTCAGAATTGATAGACCTAAGTGAAATTAGAGCACAAGTTAATGGACCACTCATGCATTTAACTCTTTTAAAAAATAAAGGTCTGTATCGTACCATATCATATACTTGGCAGTGAGAATGGTGATAAGAAACTCGCATAGAGGAATACACCTCTAGTGTACCGATTATTCGAAACGCACAGCTCCTCAACTAGGAATGTCTTGAGATTGAGTGTGAAATACTGTGACTCCTGCATTGCAAACTGGGAAGCATCCAGTTGTGATACTTTTAGGAGTAAGTACCCAGCCGCTGCATGAACGATGCTCCAGTAACTGTTTGGTTTGGGCAAGGTGATTGTCCTTTTGTGCTGCCACTCAGTTCCTCGAAAAGACTTATAGTAGAGCTGTAGCATGCCATCACGAAGAGTATGACAGGAGGGAGGTCAACAACAGAGAGTTCCATATTATATATGTTGAGCATGATCATAAAACTGCTATCGACACCGATAGTCCAGAAGTAGCAGCCATGAGCGTGATGGCGCTCGAACATCTCCTGAATACTAACCAAGTTAGAGTGCAAAGGAACTGTTCTATTGAAAGTGATGCCTCGCCATTGTCCGGTGACTGAAGAGGTGGAAAGGTCACGAGCTTGTGTTCGCACTGCACAGTGCAGATCACCCGGAATGACAAATCCTGGTTCTCCTTGTCCTTATCAGTGTCTGGATCGAGGAAGGGATCGCAACCCTGCATGCCCCAGCCCACAGTAGCAGCCGCTAGGTCGTCGGGGATGGCGGGTAGCTGGACGTGCCGGCGGTGCAAGGGGTCGCAGACCATGAGGTCAGGGAACACGGCGGTGACACTGACGCGACGGTAGAGGAGGACGCGGCCTTCGCGGGCGTCGCAGACCAGTCAGCAGTGAGGGGTGCCGAGGAAGGAGAAGGTGAAGTCGGCGGCCTGCGCGAGGGCGCGTGCGGCAGGGGCAGAGCGGTGGGGTGGAATGCTTCGTCGTCGAAATCGAGGACGCCGAGGACGGGTGGGGAGTGGAGGCACCTGAAGCGGTGAAGGAAGCGGCGCGCGGAGACGACGCGGCGGAAGGTCGCGCAGGCGGCGGAGGCGCGGGCGAGGTCTTCCGCGGCGTCGAGGCGGAGGAAGATCTCCTCCAGGATCTCGTCGGGGAAGACCGGCTGCGATGCTGGGGCGCAGGCGACCCGATGCGCCGCCGGCGAGGACATGGCGCGGCGACGGGGACGGAGATGGCTCGGTGGATCTGTTGGACCTTCGACGCCGCCGGCGAAGTGGAGTGGAGTGGCAGAAAGCGCACGCGCTTCTACGGGTATGGACTGGATGGGCTAGGCTACACAATGTGGGTTGGGCCGGCCGTTTCAAGTGAATTGCACCATGTAAAAGGCCCAGCTGCTGGCGGCGAGGCTCGTCACTTTCTACAGCCACTATCACCAAAATTTCTGCTAAAAAAACAAAAGTTTAATTAATATATGGTATGGTTCGGTGGGTATTTTTACACCAGGATAAATATTTTAGGTACTGGGTCATTGGGTTTGACCCAATAAAACTTGCATGCCTACTTTTCCTTAAATGTTCGCATGCAACATAACATAACAGCAGTGACGACCCAAAACACCTACACGCAACGTTAAGTAATTATAGCAAACATGTTCTTAGATTGTAACGGGACTGAGTTTTTTGTTGCGAGGTACTCATGAAAATGACAATGAACTAGTTATTTTTGTTGGAGTCAACTGGATTTACCCAATCTTATTTCAACCCAATTAAATAAATTCCAAGAGCATCTCAATAAAAAAAAGTGTTTCTTAAACTCACTCTTCAAATCATCATTTGAAGAGCCATATGAATAAAAGCCAGTCTCTATATCTTTCTATCCTCCAACAACTTCTCTATATTTTGTGAGCACTCTACAGAGCCAAACAGCCTGTAAACATCCCCGCCTAAATGGGCCGAGCTGGGCCAAAGTGAATAGTGCTGCGGGAGCGGGGTACTATAGCTGCATGGGGAACTGTAGCCGCGAGCACTGTAGCCCAAGTCGGGCCAGACCACTGTTCACCCCCGAGGTTTAGTGCCATACTGGAAACTGAGGGGCGGTCAGACCAGCTTAAATAGTCAGGCTAAGGACGCGTAGTAACCTTCGGTTAACCATTTTGCGTGAAGCGAGGACGAAAGCGCAAGCGGATTGCTACGTAGGTGAGCCCACCCCTTAGTAGAGTGGGCCTGTGCCATGTGCCGGACCTGGGGTGTTACAAATGGTATTCAGAGCCAACTGTCTCGGACAGGCTGCGCATGGCTCTGCAAGAGCATGACACTTAGGGCGGAGAGCTGGGAATATGAACGTGGCCATGAGAGTCGATCCTGGGCATTTATCCCGTATGGGTAAGCTGGTTCGATAGCTCGACAAGGACGTTGAATCACCAACATCCCCACTAAAATGGGCCTAGCTGGGCCGAATTGAATAGTGCTAGGGCGCGCTGTAGCAACGAGATGCAAGAATGGGGGTACTGTAGCTCAGTTACCGTGCATGGTCTACTGTAGCATCACAGAGCGTTGCTCATCCGAGGTGGGCGCGAGCACTGCAGCAACAAGATGGCATGATCGGGGTTGCTGTAGCTCGGATACCGTGCATGGGTCTACTGTAGCATCACGGAGCATTGTTCATCCGAGGTTTAGTACCGTACTCGGAACCGAGGGACGGTTAGACTAGCTTAAATAGCCAGGCCAAGGACGCGTAGTAACTTTCGGTTAACCGTTTTGCGCGAAGCGAGGACAAAAGTGCAAGCGGGTTGCTACGTAGGTGGAGCCCACCCCTTGGTAGAGTGAGCCTGTGCCGTATGTCGGGCCTGGGGTGTTACACAGCCAAACTCCACTCTCCATCTTTGACTAGCTTGAAATTTGGAATAAATTCTGAGAACGACGATGGCGATGGCAGCGAGTTAGCGTGGGGCGAGAGTAGGGAGGGGCGGAGCAAAGATAATGGGCTGAGCAAGAGCGAGGCGAGTGAGTGAGTGGGCAATGCTGGAGGTGTAGGAAGAGGGGAGGGGCAAGATGGACATATCATAAGGCCTTGCTGACTTGGATTCATGCTGGCGTGAGTGGCTACCATGACATGTGAGCAAACTTAGTAAATTTGTAACCATGTTCTCTCTGGCGAAAATGTAGGAACAATTCTAAAGCTACTATATGAGGCGGTGCCAACCCAAGGATAAAACATATCTTTCACTTTACACCAGTATTTGTGCTTGGAAATAAAATGGCACAGAGGCAAATAGGCAAATAGATAGAGACCGTTATAACTTATGACCATCTAGTACATCCTTTTTTTATAAGTCTTTGTTTCCCAACTTAGACCCTGTTTAGATGCACTTAGATTTTTCCCAACTTAGACATTGTTTATATGCACTCGTATATCCACTTAATCCATATGTATTAGGATGGATTAAGATGCAAGTTAGTTTAATTTCTACCTCCATCCACGCCAACACAAGGATTTATGGGAATACGAGTGCATTCAGACAAACTCTTAGGGTGATTCCAGATCTAAGTACTATGGTATGGTAGCCCGGAGGCAATGGTTTTGTGAGACGATGATATGGAGGGAAAGGTGGGGGTGTGGCCAGGAGAGAACCAGAGAGGATGGTGCAGCGTCGGCCAGGATCGTGTAAGGAGAAGTTATGGCGTTAAGCAATAGATATAGTTTGTTGCTTGAGAATAGCTCATGGATATAGCACACACCAGTCCATTGTCAGTGCGTGCGAAGGAACTTACGAAAGAACC